TGGTAGACGGCCATGGCGACGGTGTCGAGGCGTCGGGATTCTGTCCGCCGGCGGTGGTGATCGCCGTTGCGGGCGTTGTGATGGTCCCGACAGGGAGGTGGAGTTGCGGAAGTAGTGGGTGGAGTTGACATGTTATTATTGCATTGGGTCCGGAGATGTCCGACTAGGCCGAACTATGCGCGGAATATGTTATTGTCGACTAAGACAAGGGAGACTTGTAGCCAGTCATACCCTACCCCGAAGTGTGGATCACCCGGGGCTCGAACTCGCGACCTGTTAGTTAGAAGTTCACGCCTCTAACCACTGGGCCACGAGCCCGTTGCCCTGTCGGTTTCGATCGGGAATATACAATGGTAGGGGCGTTCACCGATCGTTCCTAAGGAATTCACTCGTTCCGTTGTGCCTTACAGGCTCTCTCTTAAGCCAAAACAGCAGTCGCCCAGCGGCGCATAATATAGGCAGTATATTATTGCCGACATGCGCCGCCGTGCGACTGCTGTTTGGGCTCAAAAGAGAGCCCGTAAGGCACAACGGAACGAGGGAGTTCCGTAGGAACGATCGGTGAGGGTCCCCTACCATTCTGCGCGGAATACCTGGCGTCAGCGTCGACATGTTTGAGGTAGGGAGTGTTGGGGTTTAGGGTCTGCGGCTTTTGCAACCTGTGAGCATCTATTTTGATGTTGATGGCGACAAATCAATTGGCTTTGAAAACTGTTACTCCAGTTTTTTTCCATCTTTTCGGCCTGATCGAGCCAGGGCGATGCTATCTTATGTGTCCCGATTTATTTTCCCTCCATGTCGGAGGGCACCTGTAGCGACGTCGCTGTAGGAGAGACGCTTGCGTACATGCTCGTCAACTATCCTCGCGAGGTGGCCGCTCCAGCGCATCTGCGGTTGCCTCAACATGGCCTGGACGCTCCGGATTCCGGTCAGTTGGAGGATTTCCATGTCCGGAATCCAGTCCTGCCATCTCAACTTTAGCGTTCTGTGGAGGCGGCTGAGGTGGAAGGGGTTCAGCTAGCTTGATGGGTTCACGCAGACGGTCCAGGTACCCGCCACTATGAGTAACTTCATCAGCACTAACGTCCTCCACATCTTGAGATTGTTGTTCTGTCAAAATCCCGGACGATTCCAGACGGAGATAGGTAGCCGGCCAAAGGCCTGGCTGGCGGTTGAGACTTTCTGGGCTACTCTTTCGTCTATCCTGACATTTCGTGAAATTATCTTGCCTAGGTATGCGAATTTGTCCATTGTGGCGATTTAAGTTACCCTGATGTTGATGTAGGCTTCTCTGTAATCCGTGTCCGGCGTCGGTTGATGCGTGATCACCATCTTCTCGGGGTTGATGATCAGTCCGAAGTTGGCGCAGCCGGAAGTGAAGAGATTTATGCTCCTTTGCATGGAGGCTTCCATCGCTGCATTAACTGCTGCTCTGTGATTGACGTGAGTGTTCTTGCATGTGTTAGGCAGTTCCCGTCCAGCCGGTAGATAATGTTGCTTCCTTGACGTTCTTCACGATAGGGATCTATCTGCGTAGCGGAGAACATGAGGCTGAAGAGGCTGGAGACGGGTACGCGGCCCTGCTTTGCTTCGATGGAAATGCTTCCGAGATGACCCCACTGTCCGCGATGGGCCTTAGCGTGCCGCGTCGTGTAGTGGGCGTACCGCGGACGCGAAGCGCGCCGGACATCCGATTTTCTGCATGTTCCTCCAGAGTCTATAGAGATGCACTGTATCGAAGACCACGTATAGTCTACAAAGGTAGTGTAGAAACTTGTCCGAACTTCCTGGCACTTTTTTCAGTTAGCGAGCAGCGAAGATAATGTTGTCGGTTATCCAGAGCGTCCGAAGCGGTACTGGTTTTCCGAGAGAAATCCATGTTCCAGATGACGGGCGGACAATAGAGAAGGATGCGAACGAAGACCTTCCTGACATCGAGTACCGGCAAGATTTCTATGTGAGTGTCACAGAGCTGAGGGTTGTCCTTGCACTTGGACGACAATGACGTTCTTAAAG